CCCCCACCCCACCCCCCACCCCGGTTTTCCGAGACAGGGTTTCTCTGTGTAGTCCTGGCTATCCTGGAACTCACTCTGTAGACCAGGCTGGCCTCGAACCCAGAAATCCACCTGCCTCTGCCTCGACCTCCCAAGTGCTGGGATTAAAGGCGTGCCCACCACTGCCCAGCCCCAACAATCTCTTAAGGCCCAAGATGTAGAAGAGATGTCACAAACTGAGGATGATATTTATCATGAAGCATTCAATTCTCTACCGCAAGTATAATTTGTCCTCATGAAAAATGGGTTCAGAGTATGGAAAAAAATTCGATCAAGTCACTCACCTACAGAGAAACCAGAGCTCTTGAGTGTGGGGCTTCCATTATGTTAAATTGCATGGGAAGGCATTTTGAAAAACACAATTTAGAAATATCTATGTACAAGCCTGACGTTTCGACGGGTGTGAACAAAGTTTAAGAATAAAATGGCTTTTGCAGTAAGGTAAAATGTTAGAATTTGGACTCAGTAGTAGCATCAAATTCCTTTCCGAGTATGTGTTTTGTTGTGTTTGTCTCTAAGCAATCAGAACCACCCAAGACAAACAGGACTTTAGGATATATAACATATAGATAGAATCTGGTAATTTATCCAGACGGCGAAAGCGACGCATCCACTCAAAAACTTAAATGAATGGGTGAATAATAAATAAGTAAATAAATAATAAAGCAGAATTTTTTTAAAAAAAAACAATTTTTTTTCAAGGAGCCACGTCTCTATGGTTGTTTCAGTGTCGGAACACAGGAGACACTCTCTCTTTTTCGAACTCTATGGTTTGAGGACAATGCTGTGACCCCGGAAGCGATCCTGGGAGGTCAGGGCACCAAGATGGCGGCGCGCGCAGCGTGTGTGGCTATGTGCCGGTGCCTGCAGCAGGTAAAGGGGTGGGCAGGGAACCCTGGCGGCCGAAGGCGCCGTCGCCGAGGCTCGCTGCCACCCTCTGCCTGGCCGGCTCGGGGTCTTCCTCCAGAGTTGTTATTAGAAAGTGACAAGAAAAGGGCAGAGTCTTCTTTTGAGGGACTCACCATAAATTGACAAGGCAGGAATGAGAGCTATAGAATGTCAGAGCGGGAAAGATGAGAAAACTGCGTTCAGACGCCCTCCCTTCACGTTAGAAAGAGTAATGAAAACCTTGAGCTCCGAGAAGACAGGAAGCTAGCCTCGGATGCTTAGGAGCTGAGCCGGGGCTGGGTCTCAGAAAGCTCCCGCGGGGCTTCTTCGAGACGTCCTCCCCGCCTCCGGGGGTTGGAAGATTTGACCCGAAGGGCTCCGAGGTCAGGGTTGGGTCTCCCTCAAGAGGTTCTTTGAAGAAGAAAACCTTGCCTGGAATCGCAGCACTGGGGAAAAGAGGCAGGAGGACTTCTGGGTCCGAAGAAAGCCAGGCTACGTATTGAGATACTGTCACAAAATAAATAATTTAAAGCAAAACAAAAAAAACTAGACTGTTCTCAAAACCTTTGTGACTCTTCTCAATGGTCATTTAGTCGTTGTGAAAATACAGCTCAGTCGGGCAGTCGTGGCGCACGCCTTTAATCCCAGCACTTGGGAGGCAGAGGCAGGCGGATTTCTGAGTTTGAGGCCAACCTGGTCTACAGAGTGAGTTCCAGGACAGCCAGGGCTACACAGAGAAACCCTGTCTCAAAAAACAAAACACAAAAAAAATTTTTCATACTAGAGATTGAACCCAGGGCCTTGTGCACACCAGACAAAGGTTCTGCCACCTGAACCCCATCCTTAGCCTTCTGTAGGACTCAAGTCCTCTTGTAAGAACTGCTGAGCTGACACTCTGGCCTCGATATTTTCCAAGGTTAGTTAACACTTTAGAAAGCCTGTTTACTATACAGTACAACTCTCGAAGCTTTGAACGGCTCCACTGTATACCAGCCAGAGGATGAAAGCAGAAAAGTCTTGAGTAATGTCTTAGTGAGTTTTGGTTTTAGGCCTCCTGAAGGTGTCTTATGGATTCATGGGCAGTGCTAGCCCACACTTGTAAAAACCACTGATCTTAAGAAAAGTATATAAGGGTTAGAGAGGTGGCTCAGTGGTTAGGGCCCTTGCTGCCCACGCATAAGGTCAGGGGTTTAGGTACCAGCAACAGGCTATCAAGGGGGGCATTCATACCCTGTGACCCCCGCTCCAGGGGTTCAGCGGAGGTCCACTGAAGCTTTTTGGCTTCCAGACTAGCCGAGAAAATTTGAGACTTGAGACCAGTGAGATCCTACCTTAAGCAGGTGGAGAGTGACAGAGAATGACACCCAACAGCTTCTGGTCTCCACAGGCTTGCACACACATGTGCATGCATGTAGAAACACCCATACAAATGTAGAAACTTTTTAAAAGACAACTAGGATGCTAGAGACAGAATTGTTTACACTTGTAAGAAAAACTTTATCCAGCCAGATCCGTACACACCCAAGCCCTTAAAAAACAAATTAAAGCTACATGCAGTGGTTCGCAGCCAACACTTGAGAGGTGAAGGCAGACATATTGGGTGCTCAAGACCATCCCCCGTCTCTCCGGTTGGAGGCCGGGTCGTAAGTCATGCAACCCCTACCTCAGAGTCAACAAAACTATTTCAGAGGAAGAATGTGACTGGGAAGCGTCATGCTTCTTAGCATTTGGGTCACTGATGTAGGAGAGCTTACTGTCTGAGTGTGTGGGTGTGTGTGTGACCATACATACTCTTGCACTGAGCCCGGTGTCCTTGTTTGTAAGCCAAGTAAGGCTGGAAATTTGTCTCACAGCATAAGAGCGAGGGCTGGTTTGGGTTTTGCTTTGTTTTGAGACAAGGTCTTTGTATGGAATCCTGGCTGTCCTGGAATTCGCTGTGTAGACCAAGCTGGCCCCCAGCTCATAGATCCTCCCACCTCTTAATGCCAGGATTAAAAGCATTCACCACTACAGCAAGCACAGGCTGTTTTAGACACACCCACTAGTCGTTTTAATTGCTTGTGCCTCCCTGTTATCTCCATCTTCATTGCATTTTTAAAGATTTTTATTATGCTGCTTTCAAGGTTACACTTTTCTATCAGTTTAAAGTATTAACTGGGTGGCTAAGAAACCATAAGATCGGAACAGTACCACTTGCCTCCTTTCCACTAGGGGGCGCTCACTTAAAGGGTTTGTGCAGTGCTGTGTTAGGGCAGCTTGTACTTAATGATGGGTGTGGATGTGGTGTGTGCTGTATTTTAGGTAATTTACAAGCAAGGTGCTTTGGCCAAGCAAAGATTCAATTATACAGACATGTAATTGTAAAAGACTTTTGTTGTTCTCTGTTTTGTTTCTGGAACAAATGAATCCTTGAATTCATGTCCTTGAATTCCTGGCTCTGCCTACTCCACCTCCACAGTGCTCAGATCAAAGGCATGTGCCAGTATGCCCAGCTAAGTTATTTCTGGTTTTGTTTTTAATTCATGTGTCTTTGTGTGTACCTATGCAAGTTTTCTGTGCACCGCATGCATGTGGGCACCCATGGAGGCCAGAGGATACCAGACACTCCGGAACTAGAGTTACTGTCGGTGTGGGTGCTAAGAACTGATCCAAGCTTCTAAGAGCAGTAAACACTTTGTTTTTGTTTGTTTGCTTGATTTTTCATTTTCAAGACAGGGTTTTCTTGTGTAGCCCTGGCTATCCTGGAACTTGCTATGTAGACCAGGCTGGCCTCGAACTCAGAGATTCACTGCCTCTGCCTCCTGAGTGCTGGGATTAAGGTGACATGTGCTACCTCTGCCCAGCACTTTGTTTCTGTTTAAATCTAATTTGGGCCTTTTGACGCCCAGTATATTCCTCTGAAAGATTGAGACCCTTTCTGAGCATCATGTACCTTCTGACTTGTGCTCTGGGAACTGACTCTACTTCTGACATCTGACCCCTCCATCCTTTTTAGGGATTGGGGAATTCATCTATAAATGGTTCTAAGTGCAGTACAACCAGAACTGGCGGCCTCCCTCTGTGAGTATGCAGCTGCATTTGCTTTATCATGCTAGAACACAGAGCTCTGTGCTGTGTGACTGAGCCTTCTCTTCCCCACACAGCAGTGCCAGTATGAAGTGGGTACCATTGTCAAAGCTGCACGTGGATGTCCCAAAGGATCTGACCAGACCTACGGTAGGTACCCTCACTGCACAGGGCAGGCTTCTTTATCATAGAATACCAGCAAGTACACTGTGATGTTCTTGGGGATTCTGGGCTATTTTTCATGCTACCTAAGAAAGTCCTAAAGAAAATCATTATTTACCCTAGATAAATGTGGTAGTGAGCAATCTCTTGCTCTTAGCTCGGCATAATTCAGAAGTGTGATGTATAGTAGTGCTGAATCCTCGATTCACAAAAAGTAATCTTTCTGTGGCCTTCAAGCCTTTCCTTTTGGATTTTGAACTTGGGATCGTCCATTGCTCGGTTCCCGCTGAAGCAGGCCATTGGCACAAAAATGGTGAATCCACAAGTAGCTTTGTGGCCTTACAGAGTTTAAGACAGGATGCTGTCTATCCCAGGCTAGCCTCTAACTAGCTATTTAGCTGAGGATGACCTGGCACTCCTAATCCTCCTGCTTCATGTTAAGTGATAAGCTTACAGGCCACCACGCCCAGGTCTTAGTAAAGTTCTAGAAATTCTAAATCTCCCCATCTCTCATCTGAGTCTGAGTCTAGTCCAGCCCAGTCATCAAGCCCCGGGTTCAGTGTGAGAACCTGTTCAAAAAAATATGGTCTGGCCAGTGAGATGACTCAGCAATTACCACCAAGCCTGTCACCCCGGGTTCAGTCCCTAGGACCCACATGGTAACAAGGGAGAGCCACTTCCCACACGTGTCCTCTGACCTCCATGTGTATGCCATAGCACGCACACAGACAAACACAATGTTTTCTTTTTAATAGTAAGATAGATAACCAGAAAGGTGGCTCGACAGGTAGGGGTACTCGCCACCAACCCAACCTGAGTTCGTGTCCCAGAACCCACATGGTAGAAGCAGAGAAGTTGTCCTCAGACTCCATGTGCATGCCATGGTGCATGCATGTGTACACACGTGTACACACATGTATACACACAGTCTCTTTGCTACTTGTTCAGAAAATCAGACCTTGTGATGTTATCTATCTAACTATTCCAAGCTAAGCTGATAATGACCTCACAAGACACCTTCAGAAATCTTTTAAGATTTGTTGCAAATTCACAATAACTTTAACCTAATCGGGGATCTTGTGGCTAGCTCAGTAGTAGAGTTTTTACCTCGCACTCTCTAAACACCACAAAAGTTTAAATAAGTGCCTAAGCCCTACAAGACCAAACAGAGCACACCATAGGGCTCTACATCCTCTCTATGTCCCAGATTCTGATACAAAGATCATTTAACTCCTCCTGCCTTTTCAACCATCTTATTTGGAATAGTTGAGAACAGACGTCTGTCTTCCTGGTTACTAAGTGGCTCTCCTTCAGGGGTGAAGCCCTTTAACCCTGACTCACTGGATTAGTCATCACTCTTCCCAGCCTAATGGTGAAGGAAATGAAGATAATTCCCCTCTCGGGAGAATCAGAAATGCCAAGCCCATTATTTCTAAGCCTTTAGTACTGGTGTAGAAGGTCCAGCCAGTGTCATAACGTTTTCATTAAACATGAGTAATTTCTGTGTGAGGACAGGCCAGCCATACATGAATAAATTCATAATAAAAGTGATGAGTAGAGCGAGCTGGGCTTTGTGTGGCGATTACAGTGTTTGACAGTTGTATAGCAGTGTTTAGCGATTTATAAGCACCTTTAATGTGTGCCGTCACAGACTCTCCTTGTAGACATGAAGAGCGTTGGCACAAGCGTGGTGCCTTAGACACGAGTGCCTGGGAGCACGCGTCACACAGTCCTCACTGTGCAGCCAGAGCAGAGCTCTTCAGGTCTGGACTTCCATCTGGGTCACTTGGGAACAGACCCTGAGGCCCTTCTCACTGGAAACTTGGGGCTCAGTCATAGCTGAGCTGGAACCTCCATCACAACTATGTAGACCTTGAAGGTTGTGTGATCCTCAGCAGATGCCCACGGGGTTAGAAGGTCATTTTGCAGGTCTATGTGGCACTGGGAGTCGAGCCAGTGGTTTTAAAACATTGCCTGCCATTTTCCTCATTTATTAGTAAACTCTAAGTTGTTCAAACAATAATATGTTAAATTTTCTGGATGTAAATATTACAAGAACCGAAACTAAAACTTGTCTTTTTTATCTTAGATAACCACTTCCGATGAGCCAGACACATTATACAAACGCCTGTCTGTTTTAGTGAAGGCCCATGACAAGGCTGTGTTAGACAGTTATGAGTATTTTGCTGTGCTTGCTGCTAAAGAACTTGGCATTTCTGTTAAAGTGTGAGTATGACCTTTCCTGATCTGACCTGCTGTCTGCCATGATGCAATCCGCAGGACTGGGATCTGAGCTTGTAAAATAAGATAAGTTTGTGGGTGACGTTGAAGCTTGTCCTGTGTTACCCTGACAAGTAGTGTCGCTTCCTGTCTGCTAGAATTGTTAAGTACTAGAACAAGAAAAATAAAGAAACCCTTTCTAGAAATTGCACTGACATAGGAAGCCTCCTATCTGGGATCTCTGTGAGAGAGGGAGGCTCTGAGGCACTGTTGGGACATGATGGCTCATTGGCGAACCTTCATGTACGGGGAGATTCATGCAGCACCCACACCCCTGCCCAGGGCACCTGGCCCTTCTGTGCTGACAGGGCTCATCTGAGGCTTTCCCAGTCTGTCCATAAATTGCCCTAAAACAGCAGATGTCACACTTGAGTTATCACTGTTGCTAGTCTTCTTAACTGGAGTACACGGGACATGAGGGAGGGGCTGAGGGGTGTCGGTGTGCATGTGTGCACGTTCTCGCATGGCTCTGCTTGCTTGGGTGTGGGAAGAGGTGCTTCTTGCTATCTGCAGTATTTATTTTGGCCTGAGTTTTGTGAAAGCAGCTGTTACAGATGAGGCTTGACACATGGAAATTACTAATGGCAGTCTGTGCCTGTAACTGAGCGAGTCTGACCTGCAGACCTGTGCTATGATGCTTGGGCACAGTGACTCAGATGGAACCTCACTGAGCTTAAGGCTGTCTGTCCACTGATGCAGACACGAACCGCCGAGGAAAATAGAGCGCTTCACTCTCCTCAAGTCAGTGCACATCTTCAAGAAGCACAGAGTCCAGTACGAGATGAGGACGCTCTACAGATGTTTGGAGGTGGGTGTCACCTGCCAGTCATGGAACACAACAGTCTGTGGAATACAACGTCATTAGCATGTAGCACCACGTCACTACCGTGGGCCCAGTCAGCTTCCTTTCAGCCAACCCATGCCTACCAGGGGTCTAGAAGGTAACTCTTGTTCTTGTGAAAGCTGTCCAGTAAGAAGAGCAGACGCAGAGCCATCCTTCACACGGTGGACTTTAAAATGGTTCAGTATGTAAAACATGGCACAGGAAACAGCACTGAGAATTTTCGCTCATATTTCAAAAGTTCTAGTTAACAGTTTATGTAGTTCACCCAAGCAAGCACAGTGGCTCACACCAGCACTTAGGAGGTAGACACAGGAGGATCAGGACTTTAGGGTTATCCTTGGCATAGTGAGTTCAGTAGTACTCTGGGCTACAGGAGCCTCAAAAGACCAAAAAGCTAAGTAAATATAGATGTCACAGTTCAGGCAGAGGTAATAGAATACACCTGTAATCCCAGCCCCTGGGAGACAGGGCAGAAGGGCTCTCCATATAGTGACCCTGTCTCAGACCAAAACAAAAAAACAAACCAAAAAAAAAAAAGATTTATTTATTTGTATTGGACAGTAGTGAGGGGCGCCTTTAATCCCAGCAGTCAGGAGGCAGAGGCAGGTGGATTTCTGAGTTCGAGGCCAGCCTGGTCTACAGAGTGAGTTCCAGGACAACCAGGGCTACACAGAGAAACCCTGCCTCAACAGAAACCATTTATTTGTAGTTATAGATAGGGGCACATGCCACAACCCATGTGGGGAGGTTGAGGACCACTTGTAGTAGGTCACTCGAGCACGTGGTTGTCAGGGTTGAGAGGTCGGGCCTTTCCCTTCTCTGAGTGGTCTTGTTGGCTCCTGCCCCACATGGGTGCCTACAACCAGCAGAGGTCAGAAGAGGGGACTGGATGCCCTGGAATTGAAATTACAGGCAGTTGTGAGGTTGTATGGGTTCTGGGAACTGAGTCTGAGTCCTCTGCAGGATCAGCCAGGGCTTGTAACCACTGAGCCCTCTCTCCAGCCCTTCTACACATTTTAAAAGAGAGTCTGTGAAAGATCTCTAGAAGAACAGGCTTCGTCACTCAGAGATCTGTGATCTGGCACTGTGGTAGGACGTGCTCACTTTCTGTTTCAGTTAAAACATTTGACTGGATGCACAGCCAGTGTCTACCTGGAGTATATCCAGCGGAACCTACCTGAAGGGGTGGCCATGGAAGTAACAAAGGTATGGCTTGAATTCCTGCGTCACGAGGGCTAACTGGGTTGTTTACTCTCTAGCCTTGTCCTGGCTGTGGAGGAAAGGGCCATTGCCACACTGGCCACAGAGTTAAGCCCACCCACCACCCAAGTCCTCACTGAGCCGTCTTAGAAGTCTCCCTAATAGTTGTTGGGACCTGGGGACTACAGCACAGCCCCACTCGCAGGGCACTGGGGTCAGACGGCGTACACACTGGCAGTTATTCCCACTCGCAGGGCACTGGGGTCAGACGGCGTACACACTGGCAGTTATTCCCACTCGGAGGGCACTGGGGTCAGACGGCGTACACACTGGCAGTTATTCCCACTCAGAGGGCACTGGGGTCAGACGGCGTACACACTGGCAGTTATTCTCTCCTCAGAAGCCCTCCGAGGTGAGGGTGAGAGAGAATCAGGGGTGTGACAGGTCAGCAGATCGGGTCGTAGGCACAGTCATGCCAAGGTCAACACTGCGTTCCAGATTGCCTTGTTTCTGGTTTTAGACAGAGATACAGCAGTTACCAGAGCACATCAAGGAGCCAATGTGGGAAACAGTTCCCGAGGAGAAAGAAGAACGCAAGTCGTAAGCCTCGGGACAGCGGCAGTGCCGAGCTGATGTGTCCCGTGGAGAGCGAGCGCCCCAGCCAAGGGGCATCAGGCCGCCTGCCCTTGCTCTGCTGGGGCCTCCCACCTGGGCAGCCGAGCAGGAGCAGGCTGGTTTCAGGGAAGAACCACTGTATCTGTTCTTTATACCAGACTATGCTTGTGTTCCGATTCGAACAAACATTAGCACACTTCTGTATAATCTGAAACGAAAGAACCAGATTTAAACACTTGTGTAGCACCACTCACGTCTTGTTAGCTTGTGCTCATTTTATTTTTATTTATTTATCTAGCCATTCATTCATTTTATTTTTCTGGAACTCACAGAGATCTACCTGCCTCTGCCTCCCAAATGCTGGATTAAAAGTGTGTCTGCCATCGTGCCTGGCTGGTTTGTGCTAATTTTAAATGTTTACTTGTTCATTCAGCAGACAATGAGTGGTCCCTTTCTCATGTACATTTTATTTTCAAGTTCCCCAAACAACTGTGGTTAAATGAATGCTGGGCAGTTTAAATGTGGCCTTTCCCTTGTGTAGCCAGCGAGTGCTGCCTGGAGGTGACGTCAGCACACAGCCTGGTGTCAGCCCTGTTTGAGAAACTGACGTACACAACTCCTGTAGCCCGGAGCCCGTGGGGCCACTGCAGTGAGTCCCTGCTCTCAGGCAGTTAAACAGCATCTGTCCTGTGAGTCATTCACCTATCAAGCTTCTGTTCAGTGAACTCTGCCCTAAGAACTGAGGTGAACACCAGGGGTTAAATAGAGCCAGTGACTTGCACAGACTGTGGGCACAAGTGTTTTCCCTTGGGTTTCTCACTGTTTCTTATAGTCTGAGGAGGCCTATGGCTTATGTAGTAGTTTCCTTCACTTCTCTGTCCCCTACATAGAATTGCCTGGCCTGACATCAGTTGTCAGTGCTCTGAACACATACTGCTTATGTGCTAGACTGTCACTACCGTGGGAAGAATCACAGCCCCATCGTCTGTGACCTGTTGCTCAAATATTGGCTGTCATTCACACAGTAGGTCTAAGCATACCTACCCCAGGAGTAAACCTCAAGATTAGGAAGTAGCCGGTGAGACAGGAGCAGGACTAAGCTGGCTCTAGCAAAGATTTTATCTAAAAGGCATGATTCTAAAAAGATCTAGACCCACACGAAAGATTTGAGGGCTTTTTCTTTTAGAGACAATTAAAGTCAATAGGACTGATGCTCACGAACCACTTCAGTGGATGGCTGTCCATTCTAGTTTTCAGATGAATACCCATAAGCCGTGTCGCTTAGGTTAGTCATTTATGCACTAAAATCTGACACCGGTGGGATGGGGACTGGATAAGACTGCTGTCACAGAGCGAAACATGAGTTCATTCCCAGAACCCACACGGTGGGAAGAGAGAACCACCCCAAAGTTGTCCTGTGCATGCGCAAACACTGTGAGTAAAAATGAATTTTTAAAATCTCATTTTAAGATAGAGACACCACTGCACACGCAGCAAAAACTATCTTTTTTTAAAGATTTGTTTTTAATTCTATATCTATGCATGAGGCCCAAGGTGTCATAGCTCTTGAAGCCGGTGTGAACTGCCCAGTGTGGTGCGGGTGTAGAAGACCGTCTTCTGACAGAGCAGTATGAGCCCTTACCCGCCAAACCATCCCTTTAAGACAGGGTCACACCATTAACTCAAGCTGGCCTTGAACTTGTAGTCCTGCCTCACCCCAGAAACGCTGGGATGCCAGGTGTATGCCTTCAGGCTCCAGAATGCTTGCCTGGTTTTGCCTGTTGATGTAACTAAGGTAATGTGTCTTGAAAGGCTGAGAGGAGCTAGGAGGTAAGGTGATTTTATTAGGGTGTGGTCCTCCAGTACGCTGTTGGTTTCTCTTGTGTGAATCGTACTTTTCCTTATTAATGGTAATCATGTTGCGTTTGTTTCCAGTTGCCGGTTTCCCTACAGATCTGCTAAGATTAAGCTAGTTCCATGCCAAGTTTCCCTCCCTTCAAAAGGAGTGACATAGATAAACAAGCCATAGTAAAAAGCTGAGGCAGGAGGATTGCCAACAGTTCAAGGCTAGCCTAGGCAAGATACTTAACCCTACCTCAGCGGGAGATTACACTTTCGTGGGATGTGGGGAACTACCTACCTATTAAGGTCTGGATAAAGCAGCTCACATAGGCGTTCACGGAGTAGCGTCAGCTAGCAGCGGTGCCCCCGGGACAGTGATGCATGTTTGTGCCCTGTGTTAAGAACCACCCAGAAGAGAGGGAGAGACTAGCCTAGAGCATGGCTGGGAGGTTTTCTTCAGATGGAACACAGCATACCCACAATAGACACTGTGCCATGCCATGTCTCTCCCAGGGCCTGTCATATACATGCTATCTGATTTACTCATTACAACAATACAGCAGATGTGTCATTAACCCCTTTACAACAGAGAGAGCCAAGGCTCGAACTGCTGTACCCGCTCACTTAGTCACTCAGTTGAAAGATAAGCCCGGGGCCAAGAAATGGTGGTTTCAAGTTCAGGTGAGCAGCAGGGGCAAACCCAGGACCTAAAGGGGCTATGAGCCAATGTGGGGGTTCACACCTGTAAACCCAGCACTGGGGAGGTTGAGGCAGGAGGACTGCGGTAAGTCTGAGGCAGCCTGGGCTACAGTTAAATATGTCTCACAAAAGAAGGCATAGCCAAGCACGCCTTCAATCCCAGCATGTGGGAGGCAGAGGCAGGAGGATCTCTTTCATTCTAAGCCTTTCTGATCTGCCTAATGAGTTCCAAGACAGCCAGGTCTACATAGAGAGACCCTGCCTCAAAAAAGAAAAGATGGAGGGGGTGGGGGGGACAAGGAGCAGGAAGATGTTTCAGCAAGTAAAGGCACTGGCCACTTCAGCCTGACTTGAGTTTGTTTCCTGAAACTGGAAATATACCGGTTTGTTCTGACTTCCACACTCAGTTGTACACACACACACACACACACACACACACAGCCTCAGCTACATAGTAAGACCTTATCTTAAAAACAAAATAAGAACTCCCCTACTCTATTGGGCCAGCAAGATGGTTCAGCAGGTAAAGGTGCTTGCCACCAAGCCTGGTAACCTGAGTTCAATCCCCGGAACCCCCTGGTGGAAGGCGAGAACTCTCAAAAGTTGTCCTCTACCCTCCATACCTGTATCCACACACGTGCAGTGGAGTGAACATGCACACACATACTCATATATATATAACCAAGCTTTATTTTTAAAGAGCTTCGAAGAACTCAAATGTGGACGTTCATTTCGGTTTATTCAAACCTTCTTCACTGTTTCCTTCTTTCAGTTCCTTTTCCTCATTAAAAGAAAAGCATGACTGAGGGGTCAGTCCTAAGGACAGACAATGTCAACAAAGGAGCAGAGTACACATGACTCCGGTGGGCCCACTGCTGGCACCAGCCCTGAGTGAGAGTCCCTGGTGCACATGCACAGCTGGCTGCCTGCAGCCCCCAGGGCTCTCAGCGAATGCCTTGCTCCGTGCTTAGTCCTGCGTCTGTAAGCCCTTACTATTGTTACACACCTCAAGCTACGCTGCCCCGCTATGGATTCTTAATCCTCTTTAAAATGATATTTTTATGCCCCAGTAGGTCAGCGGTATTTATAGGGAAGGTCATGGGCAACCAGCCCGCTTGAAAACCCAACCGATTTAAGGTTTCTCGGCCAGAGACGACATCAAGTTGTGTTTCATTCATAGAATTTATTTTTCTTCTCCCATGCTCATTGCTGAGTTATGCCTGCTCTCTCTCTCTCTCTCTCCCCCCTCCCTCCCTCCCTCCCTCCCTCCCTCCCTCCCTCCCTCTCTCTCTCTCTCTCTCTCTCTCTCTCTCTCTCTCTCTCTCTGAGACAAGGGTCAAGGGTCTCACTTAGGCCTTGAGCATATGCTTTTCTGTGCATGCCTCCTAAGTGCCTGGGATTATAGGCCCACATAGAATTCGCTTCTTCTTCCAATTACTCTTTAAAGGTTTATTTTTTATGCTTGAGAGTTCGCCTCATGTATGTACATGCATCACATGCATGCAGTACCCGTGCTGGCCAGAGGGGGTGTTGGGCTCCCTGGGACTGGACTCATAGGTGGATATGAGCCACTACGTGGGTGCCAGGAACTGAACCAGGGTCCTCTGTAAAAGCAGCAAGTGGCCTTAACCACTGAGCCGTCTCTCCAGCCCCTGCTATTTTCTTTTTCCTTAGAGGCAAAGTCTTGCTATATAGCCCAGGCTGGCCTGGGATCCCAGCTCTCATGCCTAAGCCTCCGAAAGGCTGGGATTGCAATTGTGAGCCAGCACTCCCAGCTCTCAGAGCCACGTGCCCCAAAGACCCCTAAACCCTCTTGCTTTAAACTTCCCACAGCCTCCCGTTTGCGCTGTGGTGCCTTATGCACTCCAGCCCCGCCCCTACCCCCGTCCACTTCTGTCCATCGGTATCCCCACAGCTTCCTCTTCAGACACACCAAACTGAGGCAGGGGTGAGGTCTCTGAGCATGAGTGGAGGTGTGAGGTGAAGTGCACGTGAGAGCTTCGTACGTGGGGGGATGAGCACACACAGCATTGTGGTCGCCCACTCCAGCAGCTCTCAGCTTCCTAGGTGCAGGCTGGGGTTGAGGGGTAAGGGGGTTAGTGTACAGGGAAGAGACAGCTTCAGTGAGGGCCCACCCTGGCCAGGTGAGGGTTAGATGGAGAAGGTGACAGAGAGGAGGACGCTCCGGGGGAGAAGCTGCAGGAGTCACCGAGCCTGCTTCAGGAGAAGGATATGGGCAAGCTGACAGAGGGTAAACACGCCGGAGTGACAGGTCGCAAGCTTCATCCGGTTGGTGAATGACTGGAGCGATGGGGTTGGTGTGAATGAGCATGAGAGAACTGAGTTTCAAAGACAGTAAGGGGGAGGCTGGGGGAGCCCCGTGCTTTCAAACTCCAGTGAGTTTGGGAGCCCAGCAGGGCTTTCTGGACTAGTGCTCCACCCAACAAGCTTTCTGAGCCAGCTTACTGGGAGTGGACTCCTGAGAAATTCCATGTGTAACAAGTTCCCAGAGACGGCTGCTGTTGGGACCACAGGTGAATGGGGGAGGTGGCCATGCTCTTTACACCTGAGTGGGTGGAGGGCAGAAAGGTGGCTCAGCAGGCCAAAGTGCCGGTTTGCACAAGCCTGATGTTCTGAGTTCAAGCTGGCTGCGGCGGAAGGCATCTGCATTCCCAGCACCATGAGATGCAAGATGGAGACTGGAGAGTCTTCTGGAGATTCGTAGGAATAGGAAACAGAATGGCAGAAATAAGAAAGACCCTAAGTCAATGAGGTGGAAGGAGAGGACAGCTCCCGCAAATACCCTCTGACCTCTACGTGCACCAAAGAAGCCAACGGCCTGTGAGCTGGTGTGAGCAGGGCCCGTCAGCCACTTGACAATCATGGAAATGCTGCCTGGGGACAGTGACATCACTGTTGAAGGACAGAGGAGAAAAAGTAAAACAGAGAAAGACACGGCTTCAAAGGGATGGGCATTTACATCCTTATGCGTCTGTATTTATGTGTGCGTGTCCGCCTGTATGTGTATCATATGGATGCAGTACCTGTAGGAACCAGAAGAGGGCGTTGGATGCCCCGAAACTGGAATCACAGGCAGCTGTAAACTGCTCAGTGCGGGAGAAGGGACTCTTAACTACGGAGCCATCTTCCCCAGCCTTGGGGCAGGTGGTTTTTGGAGGGACAGGAGCACAAGGAAGGCACCAGCCCAAACCTCAGGCCCAGAGAATTGTGGACATGGGAGAAGGTGGTTGCAGAGGTCCTACATGGAAACTAATGGTGAGATTCAAGGAAATCAGGGTGTCAGATGACAAAGATCACAGAGACGTGAGGTCAGGCCTGAGCAGTTCCTCTACAATTCCAAAAAGGATCATCCCTAGGGCAGGCTCACGTGTGCACTACCACACACGGCTTCCAAACAAACAAACCAACAAAAAAACATAGGTTCTAGTGGACCTGAGAGACGGCTCAGTGATGAGGAGCTTGTTCCGTTCTCATAGAGGACCTGAGTTCCAGAACCAGCATCCATGTCGGGTGGCTCACGACTGCCTGTGACTCCAGCTCCAAGGGATCTGCGGTCCTCTTCTGGCCTCAGTGGGCACTGCACTCTCATGAGGACACCCCTCACCACACACACACACACATATACACATAGTTTAAAAATAGTAAAAAACAAATCTTTTTAAAAATAAAATAAGCACAAATGTTGGAAAGATTGCACAGTGATTAAAAAACATTTTTTCTCGCAGAGGACCCGGATTCAGTTTCCAGCACCCATGTGGTGACTCACAATGAATAACTCCAGTCTAGGGGACCTGACACCCTCTTCTGATCTCTGTGAGCATTGCACACATGTGATGCACATACAGACATACACACGTATACACATACATACATAACACACACATACATACACACACACACACACACACACACACATATATATATATGTATATATATATATATTTACATAAAATAAAAATAATATCTATCCACCCATGGTAGGAAACACCTTTAATCCCAGCATTTGAGAGGCAGAGACAGGTAGATCTCTGTGAATTCAAGGCCATTCTGGTCTACATAGTGAGTTCCAGGCCAGCCAGAGCTACAATGTGAGAACCTGTCTAAAATATAAATAAATAAAATCTAAAAAAATAGCATAAATATGTAGTTTGATTGTTTTTGTTTTTGACGCGGCAGAGGTGGGGGTGTCTTCGGATGTCAGCAGGGCAGTTTTGAACTCGAGACTCTCCTGCTTCTCCAGTGCTGGAGTCGTGAGCAATAAATATGGAATTGATTCAGCACGTAATAAAAATGTGTTCGGTCTGCCGGGTGGTGGTGGTGCACGCCTTTAATCCCAGCACTTGGGAGGCAGAGGCAGGCAGATTTCTGAGTTCGAGGCCAGCCTGGTCTACAGAGTGAGTTCCAGGACAGCCAGGGATACACAGAGAAACCCTGTCTCGAAAAACCAAACAAACAAACAAACAAAAATTGTTCGGTCAACCTAATGAATATGTAACTGCTGCTAAGGTGAGTTCACGTGGCCTTTGATATAAGAGCCCTTGAAGATACTTTGGACCACACTCCCGGGTCCTGCCCGTGCGTTAGTGCTTGGGACTGAATGGGAGCGATCACTTCAGGGCTGGCGTGAAGGGCTGGAGAGAAGCGTTTGTCCTTTAAGCTGGAACATGAAAACCTCGAGATTCAGGCGTAGTCTGTAAGAGAGCCGCAGACTCTGGTAGAACCAAGAACCCCGCCCCACAAAGCTCTTACCCTTAGTCTGCAGCCTCTCCCTGGACCTGTGGAGGGGCGAGGCTGAGGAAGCTTAGCCATCTGGAGGTCAGACCTTCTGGGGAATCTTCTAATGGTCTTTACACAGCTAAGCTGGCCTGGGCCTGGCCCCCCCTCTGGAGGTCCCTTCACTACCAATCAAATTCAGTTTCAAGTTACAGTGAAAGGGCTGCTCAGAGCAAAGAGAGAGGAGCCTAAAGTCAGCGAAGGACTTGGAGGAGTTGCGGGACCTGGCTCCCTCGCGGTCTAAAAGCCGCCAGGATGGGGCAGCAGTTCAGCTGGGAGGAGGCGGAGGCTGCCGGGGAGATGGATGTGGCGGAACTGCAGGAGTGGTACAAGAAGTTTGTCGTGGAGTGTCCCAGCGGGACGCTCTTCATGCATGAGTTTAAGCGCTTCTTCAAGGTCACTGGCAATGAGGAGGCCACCCAGTATGTGGAGGGCATGTTCCGAGCCTTCGACAAGAACGGGGTAAGAAGCCCTGCAGGGGAGGACCTATGGCCCACCCACACAGTGCCTTTTCCATCCTTGAGGCCTTCAGAGTAAGACCTCAGTTCCACTCAGCTGCCTTCCCCTCCGTCTCTCTTGCGCCCTCCCCCCCTCATTTGTTCCTTCTTCTCCCCTCATTGGTTCTTTACATCTTCCTGGCTCACAGTCTGAGCTTTCTCTGCTTCTTAGGCCAAGGTTCTGCAGCAAAAGGACATGCCTTTACAAACCCCATATAACCCCTCCTGCTGCTTTCAATACAAGGGAGTAAGATGTCCCAAAAGCTTTCTTAGCATAGATCAATACCAACTTGCTAGAGTCCTGCAGATGGAGACTGCTCAGTTCTTCCCTGTGTGGATGCTGGCAGGGGGCTTCACGCTGGCTGGGAGGAGAGTGCATAGTTGCAAAACCACTTTTGACTTTTTTTTTTTAAAGATTAAATGTGTGTGTGTGTGTGTGTGTGTGTGTACTTGTAGAGGCCAGAGGGGGCATCAGATACATTAGAGCTAGTTACACATATTTGCGAGCTGCCCAGTGTGGGTGGGATCCAAGCACCAGTCCTCAGAGCAGTAAGTACTCTTAATTACTGAGCCTTCTCAATGCTTTAAGTCATGGGGCATCACATGAATCAAATCCCAGAGTTTCCTTAAGCCTTCCAGTGACACCAGCAGCTAAAGACACTGAATTACATAATGCACACATGATAAGTGTGTGTGTGTGTCTGTGTGTGTCTGTGTGTGTGTTTGCAATCATGTGTTCATGCATGGAGGGTACACTGTGTGCATATGAAGGCCACAGATTGACCTCAGGGCCCCAGGACGCGACCAGCCTGTTTCTGTGACACCATCTCATTACCTAGAGCTCACCAACTACGGTGAGCTGGCTGGCCAGAAAGCCCCAAACTTCTCCTGTGTCCGCTGTCTCCGCACAGGGACAGCAAGTAGATGCCACAATAGTCAGTGTTTTCAAAGATTTTAAATCATATGTGAGTGTGTGCACGTACATGCAGTTCCTGGAGAGACCACAAGAGGGCAATGTTTCCCATGAGACTGGAGTTAAGGTGGCTATGAACTGCTCTGCAAAGATGCTGAGAACAGAATTGAGTACCTGCCCTGTAACTGCTGAGCCGGCGCTCCAGCACCCCGCACCAGCCTTTGATGTATGAGTGCGGGAAGGAACCCGGGTCTTCACGCTTACGTGGCAAGCACTTAGTGGACTGGCCGTCTCCCCATTCCTAATTCGTTTGGATGCTACTGTCCTTTGAGAAGCCCAGGCCCGTCTTCTCAGCGTCTCCTATTGTCTTCCGGAGCAGCTGCTTCTCTCTTAATCCTAGCACATAAAATCTGTATTAAAGCCTCTTAGACTGGAGCTTTGCTTCAGAAAAGTATTTTCACTCAGGAGCTGGCGGCATGGCTCAGTGGTTAAGAGCACTGGCTACTGACACTCGCATGGCAGCTCACGGCCGTGGCTCGTGGTAACTCTGGTTCCAGGGCATCCAGAGCTCACGGTACGCATGTGTGCGGGCAAAACAGTTGCACTCATAAAATAAAAAAATAAATAAGAAAAAATTATTTGGAAAAAAGGACGTCATTTTAAAGGTTATCTGGGTCAGTGTCCTGCAGTCCTTTTTAATGGTATCGTGTTATGGGTTTTTTTCTTTGGGTTTTTTTTTTTTTTTTTTTTTTTTTGTGACAGGGTTTCATTATCTAGTCCTGGCTAACCTAGAACTCTCCATGTAGACCAGGCTGGCCTCGAACTCACAGAACTCCACCTGCCTCAGCCTCCTTAGTGCTAGGATTAAATACATGGAATCCCATACCTGATGCCACTGAAGTAATATAAAGCTTATTTCTCTGAGTTGAGGGGATACATGGGTAATTTGAAGAGACCGTGAGGACAGTGTCCCTTGGTGCGGAAGAGCTTGTGCCACACTGACTCAGTGTGAATGGCACTCGATGTCTAAGGCTGCCCTTAGTCCCAAGTCAGACTGTGGGGGAGGGATCAAAGGTGCCAGTGGAAGCTCATCCGTTGAGATCAGTCACAAAACACAGGGCACAGAGCCAACTTCAAACCTTCCAGGCCTAGCCCTTCCTCTCAAGGCTGCAGGAGCCTACAAGGGAATGGTGTTCTCAGGTCTTTTTTCTATTTTCTTTTTGGTTTTTCGAGACAGAGTTTCTCTGTGTAGCCCTGGCTGTCCTGGAACTCACTCTGTAGACCAGGCTGGCCTCGAACTCAGAAATCCGCCTGCCTCTGCCTCCCAAGTTCTGGGATTAAAGGCGTGCGCCACCACCGCCTGGCAGGGTTTTTTTTTTTTTTTTCTAAATTAAATTAAATGACAAGAAAACTGGGGTCAGCTGTGTGTGGCGGTCCACACACATAGCATGGCTAGTGTGAGCCCAGGGCAGACAGATCCTGCTTCAAACAAACACATCTGATCCAAGAAAGGAAGCCAATTTGCCCAAGGTCAAATGTTCACCTCAGTGTCTTTCTTTCTTTCTTTCTTTTTTTAATGTACATCGGTGTATAACCTGCATGTATACATGTCTGAAGGTATCATATCCCCTGGACCAGGAGCTACAGACATTTGTGAGCTGCCATGTGGGTGCTGGGAATTGAACCCAGGTCCTCTGGAAGAGCAGCCAGAGGACTCTTAACTGCTGAGCCACCGCTCCGCCATTCTAGCATCTTAGCTCCTGTTCTTGTGTTCCTACTTAGAGGCCTGGGAGTTCTGTTGTTGTTTTTTAGGTTTTATTTTATGTATGTGAGTTGTCTGCATGCAGATGTGTATATGTCACACAGTGGTAAGACAATACCCCCTTGGTACCCATGAGTGTCAGAAGATGGTGTCCAGTTCCCTAAAACTGGGACTTGAGATGGTTGTGAGCTGCCTTGTGGGTGCTAAGAATTGAGCCTAGGTTCTCTGCAAGAACAAGTGCTTTTAACCACTGAGTCAACTTCTCCGGCCCATGTTCGTTTTGAGACATGGTCTTACATGTCTGGCCTAAAACTCAAGATTCCTCCTGCCTCTGCCTACCTCCGTCCCTGCTCTCCCTTGCAGTACCCTTCCTGACAGTAGCCTAGGAATGGATGTTTGTTTGTTTGTTTGTATGTTTAAAGAAGATGGGGACTGGAGAGGTGGCTCAAGATTCAGTGGACCCAGGTTTAAATACCAGCAACGACACAGTGGCTCACAACCATCCATAATTCCAATTCCAGGTGATCCAGTGCCCTCTTCTGACCTCCACAAGGCACCAGGCATACACACACACACACACACACACACACACACACACACACACAGAGTATACAGATATACATGCAGGCAAAGCTTTCATACACATAAAAACAAATTAAATAAATAAATCTACCCAAAAATATGTAAGACAGGGCTGGTGTTGCTAGCCAGACTTCTTTTTGTTTGAGCGCTGATCTTTCAAGATTGTGTCATCTGGACTTGGCCTTCAGCACAGGTGCCAGTTTAAAGTTCCATGACAGCTGCAGGGTCCGTGCACATTGAAGCCCAGCCAAGGAGAGACAGGGCAGCTAATCTCCCAGGTGTCTCCAGCCTGCTCTGAGTAGGTGGGCACCTCCACACCCCTCAGGCTAAGGTTCAGGTAATTGTTGTTGACTAGAGCAACCCATGATGTGACTAACCCCAGTCAGAGCTGTCCAAGAAACAGTCCCAGGGTTTCTGTGCCCTTGCAGGGGAGGCATTGCTCCAAGGAGTGGTGTCAGAATGAGCCTCACAAAACATGGGGGTCATTGTGGAAACTGAATTACATTGAAAGAGGCTATTATAGAATAGAAAATTCTGGATAAATGATGAAGAACAGTTCTTCAGACTCAGTGGCATGGGCCTGCCATCCTGGCTACTTGGAAGGGTGAGGCGGAGAATGAGCCGGCTCCCAAGGGAGGGACCAGCATGTCCAGTGACACAAAAGGTCCCAGATATTGCAGGGAAAGGGAACACTTGTGTCTAGGGACACAGCGTCAATTGGGCTCAACCTGCACTCTGGGGAGTGAGGCCAGGGATCGGGGGTCCTCACAGTATCCCACACTCAATGCAGGACAACACCATTGACTTCCTGGAGTATGTGGCAGCCCTGAACCTCGTGCTGAGGGGCACCCTGGAACACAAGCTCAAGTGGACTTTCAAGATCTATGACAAGGACCGTAATGGCTGCATCGACCGTCTGGAGCTTCTGGACATTGTGGAGGTCAGTGACTGGCTGGCTGTGGGCTGGTGCCCCGTCCCATCCACACCTCATTCCTGGGGTTCTGCCTGAAGGTGGCCTGCTCGACAGGGAGTCACCTAGCAGTGATGTGGGACTCACAGTGTGCTATCTGTAGCCATCAAGATGGCCCAGCTGGTAAAGGAGTTTGCCACCAAACCTGACATCTTAAGTTCAGCCCCCATGATGCATATGGTAAAGTAAGAGAACAGACTCCTGGGAGCTGTCCTCCACATGCCCACCATGGTACACATAAACTCACACCTACAAGATACACCCCCCACACGCACACTGTTGCATACAAACACAGTAATAACAATAAATTTTGCCATGTGAGATGGCAACGCACCTTTAATCACAGCACTCAAGAAGCAGAGGCAGAGAGATCTCTGTGAGTTCGAGGCCACCCTGATCTACAAAGCAAGTTCCAGGACAGCCAAAGATGTTACACGGAGAAATCATGTCTCCAAAAAAAAAAAAAAAAAAACCAAAACAAAATAAAACAGAAAACAACCATAATAATAAATGTTAATTAGAGAAAGGAAAATAAGAAAACCAATAGTCTAAGAAGCCACCTACAGAAATTAAGAAGAGTAAATTAAACCCAAAGAAATAAAGAACAAGAAATGAATAAGGTAGAAAGGAAGGCTGGCTGAGTGACAGCCCATGACTGTGATCTCGAAGACCCTCAGTCAAATCCAGGGTATCTATACGAGGGACCGCAGGCCAGCCTTTGCCCACAGAGTGAGACTGTTACAAACAGGAAGAAAACAAATGCTCAAGAGAACAACTGTGAGACAAATTCTCACTGCTGTGACAGTGAAGGAAGAACTTAGAGCAGGAGGGGCTGGTTTGGTCTGATTGGGTTTCACTCTTAACTTCTCTTGCCAGTTACCATGGGCAGAATACCATAGTGACTGCCCATGTCAAGTATTGGAAGAGGCAGCCAGAAAGTAGCCAGGCCACACCATACCCATCACAGACACCCATCTAGAGACCCCATTTTCTAAGTTTCCACAGCCCACTCAGGTTTTATGCCCATCAGCGGGTTAAGCCGTCCCTTCCCCCAGAGCCCTTTTGAGCTACTTGGCTCTTGAAGCCACCTCACAGGCACTGACTGAACATCTAAGCAGCACTCAGTCCAACCAAGGTGACAGTCACCATCAACTGACACAAAAGAAAAGTCAAGAAAAATCAAAATTGATTCTTTTCACGGGATGGGGGACATGTGTAGTGTAGATTTGTGGATTTATTTTTTAAGCAATTTACATTTTACTGTTTTAGGTGTATCGATGGTTGTCCTGAATGAACAGGGGCACCATGAGTGTGCCATGCCCTCAGGAGTCAGAGGAGGGCGTCAGATCTCCTAAAACTGGGGACATGGGGCTGTTAGCCACCATATGGGTGCTAACAATCTATCCTAGGGCCTCTGAGAAGGCAGCCAGTGTTCTTAACCATTGACTCATTCCTCCAGTCCTTCCACTTTGTAATTAATTAATTAATTAATTAGTGAAGAGTCTCTCACTCTAACACCCTCTGATTCCATTAAGTGGGCAGGGCCCTCCCACATCCATCATTAGTCAAGAAAATACCAAATAATTTGCCTACTGGAGGCATTTTCTCACTTGGGGTCCCCCTCAAGTGGATGACTCTAGCTCGTCAAATGGACCGACACATTCAAATTCTGTGTTACTAAGATGCTCAGCCTGGAGGCCAGGGCTGGGTGGCGGCACTGAGGGACACAGGTCCCCGAGAGTCTGTCAGAGTAACCTAGCTCCTTCTCTCTGGCAGGCAATTTACAAGCTGAAGAAAGCCTGCCGGGTGGAGCTGGACCATGAGCAGCAGGGCCAGCTGCTGACGCCTGAGGAGGTCGTGGACAGGATCTTCCTCCTGGTGGACGAGAATGGAGATGGTGAGAGATACTTCTTCCGGGAAGTTGCACTGTCTGTGCGATACGACCCCCAGAAGCTCCCCACCCCAACCCCCACATCCCTGCTACTGATATACTTGTCTGTGAACCGGCTGGAGAGGGATGGTATGAAATATCAAAGAAGCCAAAAACCCCTGAGTGCACATTTGTAGGGGTTAGAGCACTTCCGAGAGCGGCTGGTGAGGGCTGAGCATGCAGATGGAACTCATCCTTTTTAATTTTATTTTTTGTTAATGGGCATTTTGCCTGCACGTATGTGCATGCCGTGCCCACAGAGGCCAGAAAAGAGTCTCAGATCCCCTGAAACTGGAGTTACAGACAGTTGGGGACCACCATATGGGTGCCGGGATTTGAACCTGGGTCCTCTGCAAGAGCAGTCAGTCCTTTTAACCCTTGAGCCATCTCTTCAGACTCAAATATATTTTTCAAAAAGATAAAAAGAGACCAGAGATATGGTTCTGCGGATAAAGGAACTTGTCACCAAGCCTAATGGCCTGAATTAAATCCATGGTACTCAAGTGATTGAAGGAGAGAACCAACCGCTGCAGATGGTACCTAAGCTCCACATTCAGGCTGAGGTGAACATGTACACACACACACACACACACACACACACACACTTGTGAGTTACAAGAGGCTCCTTTAGACTCAGAACCAGCAAGCTACAGGTGTAGAACCCCAGGCCGCAGGCCGCAGTCCGGTTGATAGGCGAGGGGGCCCTCCCCACGTACCCCTCCTCTGCCTCATGCCCCTCTCTCCCACCCTTGCGCAGGTCAGCTGTCTCTGACCGAGTTCATTGATGGCGCCCGGCGCGATAAGTGGGTAATGAAGATGCTTCAGATGGATGTCAACCCGGGCGGCTGGATCACTCAGCAGAGGCGGAGAAGCGCCATGTTCTGAGAGCCCGGGGACCCGCAGGGGCGGGCCCACACTCCCCGCCAAGACTCCTCCAGGGTCCCCCGGGTTTACAACGTAGCAGGAGGCTCCTGGCCTTGTTGCCTGAAGCCTGCCCCCTGATTGGTCTGGACTTCCCGACACTCCCAGTATGGGAGAGCAAGAGGCCGAGCAATGGCTGCTGGGTCTGAAGTGGTTCAGTCCGTTCTTCAGGATTTACTAGCATTGTAGGGGTCTGATGTTTCTCTGCTCTCCGGCTGCTCCTGGAAGAACTGGACTTCCAGTTCTTTGACTGAGAGATGTGGGGCTCTTACTATTCTTTAGGTGTTCTCAGAGGAAATGGGGTGGGGGTGGAACAAAGGTTGGTAGTCTGGAAAGAAAGCAAGGATGGGGGAGGAGAGCCCAGCTCAACCATCCTGTGTGCTGGCTGGGGACAACTCTCCCCAGCTCCTCCCCAGGGTGTCTTCATCAAGGATGACAAAGGAAGGCTACCACCATGATCTTCTGCCCTTACAGGCCTGGTGGGCTTATGGGGGATGTTCCGGCTGTACTCGGTGGTGCTCCCCAGTTCTTTCTCCTCATCCCATCTCTAGTGTGAGCCTGCTACCATTCCCAGCCATAAGCCCACAATGCCTCCTTAAGGGTGGAGACATCTTCTCTTCATCTCTGGAGGGAACCTGGCATTTGAGTTCCGGGCCAGACTTTGCGTCCCACAGCTGTTGGACTCCCTAACCTCCTGAGGTGGACTAGTCAGCTCCAGGTTATCGTGTCCTTCATGCACCTGATATAGAAGCTAGACTACCAGGGAATCTCTCTGCCTTTCTCTGCCTCTTTCCATCTGTCCAGTTGGGGAAGGCGCCGCAGAGGGCAGGAAGTAGGACCAGTGTCGCTCTTAGTGACTCTCTGTGGAATCTGTGGGTTATTGGTGTTATCTTGAATAGACACACGTTTCGTGTTAAAATAGAGTAAACTAACTTATTGTCCTGGAGGTGAAGTTTGTTTGCTTGTTTGAGCAAGGCCCCACACTGTAGCTCAGGCTAGCCTGGAGCTCATTGTATAGCCCAGGCTGGTCAGAACTCCTGCCTCAGGCCTCAGAGCCCTGAGATTCTAAGTGTGAGCCCAGGTTTTTGTGTATGAGAGAAGAGCTGTTTGTTTTCATTTTGTAGGGTAATTGAGACAGTTTCGGGAGCCCAAGTCAGCTTGAAACCCATGGCAATCCTCCTGCCTCAGCTCCCTGAGTGCTGTTATCACAAGTGTGCACCACTGTGCCCAGCATGAACTTGAAGTGTTTTTAGTTTTATCTTCATTTTATGTGTATGGGCGTTTTGCCTGCATATGTCTATGCACCATGCGTGTGCACTGTCACAGAGGCCAATCTTGTGGCACTGGAGTCACAGATGGTTGTGAGCCTCTGTGTGAGTGCTGGGAATCAAGCTGAGGTCCTCTGCTAGAGCAGCCAGTGCTCTTACCACTGAACCGTCCGTCTCTTGGCCTTTCGGAGTTCTGTGGTTCGTAGGATGTGCTATAAAGTTCTCTTTAAAAATCGCTTAGATGAAAATGGTCCATGTAAAATATGAATATATCCCAGGCAGGAAAACGATATGTTCTCCAAATCATGGAGATACATGAGGCAGGCCGGAGGATGCCTCATCTAACACTAATACACAGAAGGTGCTCAATAAATGTTTGCTCTTCACCTGAAGCCATGCAAAAGACTCCAGGGTCAGTGTGACTGCCCCAGGCTGTGGCAGCAGACGCCAGGGTTCCATCAGAGGCCCAGGGGCTCTCTCAGAGCTTCCCCCATCTGCGGGGTGTGGCCTGAGAAAGAAGATGGGAGGGGCCAGAGAGGGATGCGAGGAAGAGGGATACTGGCAGGAAGCACCAGTATCCTGAGTGGATTAGTGACCATCCTTCGCTGTGCTGGACTCTCAACTCCTACTACTGCCCCTCCGCCCCACACTGTGCACCCAAAGCAAAACGCTGAGACTCCGACTTCAGAAGGTTCTATGTAATATTAAGACAAGAACAGAACAACCACACCAGGCACCGCACGGGGCCAGCCCTCAGCATGCAGAAGCCACGGGGTGAGGTTCAACCCGCAGCCTCCGCTGCCAGGTCGCCAGCGCCAGCGTCTGCCTCCTCCTGTTCGCCGTTCTGGAGTCTGCGCACGATACGGGTCAAGTCCAGGCTTCGGGTCAGCGTGTCCAGGAGCATCTGGTCCTTCTGGACGCCTTCCATGAACTCCTCCAGAGACAGTTCCCCTGGATTAGAGGGAAAGAGATTCGCAGGATGAGGTTTTAGGAGCTCAGGGCTGGATGCGAAAGGCAGAGACAGAGCTAGCGCTGGGGCAATGGTATAGAGTTTAGAACCCAAAGTCTGGTGCAGGGATCCCCAAAATCCAGGTCTGCATACAGAGCAGAGGTGGGTAGAAGAGGCGACCATCAGAAGGCCCACTGTCTTCCTCCTTTCTTGCTCCTCTCCAGGGGTGACTGCTCTCTCTGCTGACCTCTCCCCCAGGAACCCCTCCTCTGCCCCCTCACCATCCCCGTTGATGTCGATCTTGGCAAACACGGTATCTGTGAATTCCTCAGCACTCATGGAGGAGTCGCTCCAGGGATTAATGGTTCGGATGGCCTGGGAACACACATAGGCAGAAGTGAGGAGATCCTTCCCAGTGGTCGGAGTGGGAGCAGAGCCAGCTTGTCAGGACCCAAGAACAGTTCAGAGTGGAAATCAAGGTTAGGGCCTCAGGTACTTAGGACACCGAGGTAGGATTGCCTCAAACTCGAGGTCAGTATTAGCCAAGTAGTTGTGAACCAGGGGGGCGTGTCGCGGTAGCTTGTCCCTTTCATTCCCGCTCTCTGGCAGACAGAGGCAGAGACCAGCAGGTCTCTGTGAGTTCCAGGCCTGCCTGGTCTATACAGTGAGCCTCCATCTCAGAAAACAGATGTTTTCTGAGTGGTAAAAAGCGCTTGCTACTCAGGTAAAAAGCAAAGTGTCGTCCTGCCCCTGGAACCCAGTGCTGAAGGGAGGCGAGAGGGGAGGCCTGCTGGGGGCTTGCCACTAACCTAGCTCCAGGTTCGGTGAAAGACTGTCTCAAAAAGAGGGAGCAAGATGCTTGACACACTCTTCTGGTGCCTCACACATGCGCACGCCCCCTAGCTACACACACACACACACACACACACACACACACACAGTGGGAACTTTAGCAATGCCTTAGTACTAACAAAGAAACTGAGTCCCAAGGAATAGCGACATAGCCCAGATCACGCAGTCAATGAGTTAGAGCTGTCATGCCTCCGTCCCAAACCCCATCCTTATTCTGGGCTGCAATTTCTATCCTGGGGCTGTCAGCCCAGGCACCCACTCTTGGCTACCCACCACGCACCGCTGGCCTAGCCCTCTGCACCTGGAGTTACCCGGATGATGGTGAGCAGCTCGTCTCTGTCTATGCACCCGTTGCCATCGACATCGTAGAGCTTAAAATACCAGCGCAACTTCTGTTCCACCTTGCCCTTGAGGACCAGGCTGAGGGCCGCAACGTACTCCATGAAGTCAATGTAGCCATCCTGGGCGAGGGGAGAAGAGAGAGGCTGGGTGAGCACACCAGGGCTCCGCCTACCCTACTCAGAGCCCCGCCCACTTCAGCCAGAACCCCACCCCAAGGCCTCTGCCCAATTCTCCCTCTTCCCCCCCCCCCGCCCCCGCAACTTCTCACCCCTCACTACTGAAGCCGTAAGCCCTCAGATGCTAAGCAGAAGGAAGCAGATGCCAATCTGCTCTGCGATGCTCAGTCCCCTTGTACCACGAATATCTATCTGTCTCTCTGGACACTTCGACATTGCCCACCACGCATCTTCCGCAAAGCTGTCAATCAAGCCTGTTAGAACCACCCCCACTGCTCCCCTCTGATTCTCAAACAGGGAGCGCTCCTATAGCCTGAGCAGGTGGAAGAAGGAAGAATGCAAGCTAGGACTGGAGGCTTGACTCCAGAGATCTCTTGAAGTGCTGGCCTGGCAGGTAGGGGCAAGAGACCCGTATAAAGGCTCTTTCCAATTGGCTTCAAGCTCCACTGAGCCCTATTGTGTGCCGAGAAAGACTGTGAGAACTCAGCTGGACAGTCGCTCTGACCTGGCAGAAGCGTGGTGTTGGAGGAGATAGTTTGAATCTTGCCTCCTCGATCCTCTTCTCTGAATTCTAGGATATGGGACAGAGGATTTAGCATGTCCCCTTTACAGTGCTCGACTTCCTCATCTAAAAATGGCAGGCTGTCAGAACTCCTTTTGGTGAACGGAGTCCATGTAACTTGAACACCCAGCACAGACGGAGCAAGGCAGTGAATCCCGTTACCTGCTGTCTGATTTGGGTTTTGGTTTGTTTGTTTGTTTGTTTGGTTTGGTTTGGTTTTATTTCGAGACCAGATTGGCCTCAAAACTCAGAGATCCTCCTGCTTCTGCCTCCCAAGCGCTAGGATCAAAGGTGTGAGCCACTGTGCCAGCTTTGTTGTTTGCTTTCTTTTTAAAAAATATTTTTGTTTATGTGTCTGTGTCTGTGTAAATGTGTGCCGTGTGTGTGTGTGTGTGTGTGTGTGTGTGCTCTTGGAAGCCAGAAGAGAAAATCACCTCCCCTGGAGCTTACAGGCAATTGTGAGCAGCCTACCATGAGTGCTGGGAGCCAGACTCTGGTCCTCTGGAAAAGCAGCAAGCACTCAACCACTGAGCGACCTCATTATGACCAGTACAAAGTCACTATGGGGCTTGGGGGGGGGGTACCTACGCCATCGCAATGTATCCAATACCTGGACATTATGAAGTCATCTAACTCTGTAAGGGCACGACAGGAGTTCAAACGGCCCTTCAAGAAAAGGGGATATCACCACTGAGTCTAGAAGGGGGTTGACATGGAGGAGCATGTGACCTTCATATGTAGTGCAAAATCGTTGCAATCCTGGGCATTGAACCCTAGGGCCCCAAAAACACTGGGCAAGCAACCTACCACTCAGC